CCTCTTACTTTTATAAAAGCCATTAATAACTCACCCATTATTTTGAGTCAAATCCTTGTCACATAAATATAATTCATTGAATGTTTTTGGCTACGGGCTATAGCTTTTAAGAAGAGCCGTTGTAGCTCCGTTACATGCTATTAAAAGCACACTGGTGAAAATAGGCCTTGCCGATTGATACCTTTAGGGGGAATCATTGCCATAGTTGCCACGCTTGGCAGGCAGGTTGGCCATCGCAGTTTTATACTTTTTAGTTGTTATTAGCAAGACGCTGCTGCCCGTATTTTGGTTTGTTTCTCTCTGTCCCTTTTTACGATACTCACGAAACGATACGGGTTAATGGATATTCTTAACACGATGTAATTTGTAAAGTGGATGCTGTGGCTCATGGGCATCAGACGTCTACATTTATCCTCGATTAAGAATCAAAATGCAGATGCGTTGTCAGCCCTGAGGATTAAGATCCTCGCCTCGTTTTCAGTAAAAAAGGGTCTCCGGTTCTCTACACTCACCATACGAAACACAGCAGCATTAAACTCCTATTTTACGCTGGTATTTACGCATGGTTCATCCCCAGTCAACCCGACTCATTCGTGCTACAAGCATAATATAGCTGCAGCGTGGTTCTACCCCGTATAATGTTAATATTTGTAGCTCAGAAACTAAAAAATAAAATCTCGCTGTAAATTTTCAGTATGCGAGCAACCCGAGTTCGATCCTCGCGGGCACGAATTAAATTATTAATTACAATTTAAAGTGCTGATTTGCCACGTGGCCGGTGAAGAAGGAAAACATAATGAGGAAACGTCATCATGTGTTAGAAATTAAAAAGAAATACTTCAAAGATATATGAAGTCCGCCAACACGCATTGGATGTAGTGCGGCGGAAATTCAATGTCCTTAACCCTTTTAGAAATGAGAGGTCTGAGTCCAGCAGGGGGATGTATATATATAGGCTGAAACTACTAGTACTACGATTTTAAAGAAAAAAAAAACTATATTTTCCGCTCCGCTCGTTACAGTGCTGTTATCTGAAGTGAGTTAGTTGTGCGGGTATTTTGGTCCAGCGCTCAATGCCACGGGGCCAACAACTTTAATAGCATTACTCATTACAACTTTAGAATAATTAGGTAACGCCCGTAAAATTTGCACATATTTTTTTTCGTAGCTTTATCAGGGTCGAAACAATTACTCAAATTTTACATTGACGTTTACATGTAACGGCTTGATTTGTAAACGATTTGCGCGTATTCATTCATATTCTAATACGTAAGTGTGTGTGTGTGTGTGTGTGTGTGTGTGAATTGTTTTGTTTAACTATGAGTGAGTTATATTTAATTCCGTCCTCCATGGTGGCATTACACCGGAGGCGTGTAGCAGAAGTGCGGTGGTCTTGTTCTTCAAGAAAGGCGACAACGCTCTCTTGAAGAACTACAGACCGATTTCCCTTCTGAGCCGCGTCTACGTGCTGTTTTTGAGAGTCATTACGAATCGTCTCGCGCGCAGTCTTGACGACTTCCAGCCTCCCGAACAAGCTGGTTTCCGAAAAGGCTTTAGCACCATAGACCACATACATACCCTTCGGCAAATTGTACAAAAGTCAGAGGAGTATAATTTGCCACTATGTCTGGCGTATGTGGACTATGAGAAAGCCTTTGATTCCGTCGAAATTTGGGCGGTGCTGCAGTCCCTTCAGCGGTGCCAAGTGGACTGTCGGTATATCGAAGTGCTGAAGTGCTTGTGAAGTAGGGTTACGATGGCTATTCGAGTACAGAACCAGAGTACGAAACCTATCCAATTGCAGAGAGGTGTAAGACAGGGTGACGTCATATCCCCGAAACTCTTCAACGCTGCATTGGAAGACGTTTTCAAGCTTCTGGTCTGGAAAGGATACGGTATCAACATCAATGGCTAGTAGATCACTCACCTTCGATTTGCCGACGATATAGTCCTTATGGCAGAATCGCTGGAGAACCTAAGCACTATGCTCAATGACCTCAATAGTGCTTAAGATGAACATGGACAAAACAAAGATCATGTTTAATGTCCATGTCACACCTATGCCGGTAGTTGTTGGGGGCATTAAGCTCGAAGTTGTTGACGAGTATGTTTACCTGGGACAAATAGTCCGACTAGGTAAGTCCAACTTCGACCGAGAGGTCAATCGACGGATTCAGGTCGGTTTGGCAGCGTTCGGGAAATCACGGTACATCTTCTCGTCAGGTATACCTCAAAACTTGAAAACGATACTGTACAATCAGTGCGTGTTGCCAGTGATGACATACGGAACTGAGACGTGGTCCTTCACTGCTGGCCGGATGAGGAAGCTCAAGGTCGCTCAGCGAGCTATGGAGAGGGCTATGCTCGGAGTTTCTCTGCGTGATAAACTCAGAAATGAGGATATCCGCAGTAGAACTAGAGTGACTGACATAGCCCAACGGATTAGTAAGCTAAAGTGGCAATGGGCCGGCCATATAGCTCGAAGAACCAACAACCGATGGGGAAGAAGTGTGAATGGTGTGACGACCTGGTAAGATATGCAGGAAGTCGATGGATGCAGGTGGCTCAGGACCGTGCTTTGTGGCATTCCTTGGGGGAGGCCTATGTTCAGCAGTGGACTTGTGAAGGGCTGTAATGATGATGATGATGAGTTATCTTGCACTTGTGTTGCATGTGTGTATGTAGAATCGCCTGGATACTATCTATTAACGTGGTGTTATTTAGATTTAATATAACCAAAGAGATTTTATTTTATCAATTTTTCAATATTACAAAAAAATATCAAGTTTAATAGATAACATATAGCCTAGATCCTTCCTGACGTTGCTCTTCATCTGTTCGTAAATTTTCATCATAATCGGTTCAGCCATTCTGAAAATTAGCCCGGACAAACGGATCAAAATTTTAAAAATAGTTATGTCTTATTAAGGGGCTAATAAAGCTCAGGGCTCACTGACTTCAGCAAGCCCGTGAGCAGTGAAAATGCCCAGATTTTAAAATAATTTCTTAATAAAAACAAATTTTGGTCTTTTGAAAAAAAAATTACTATAGAAATGTTTATTAATAAATTGTCTATCAATTGGTGTAAATCGCAAAATAAAATAATACTTACTTTACGAGGAGATGCATGTTATCAATAATAATTTCACATTTATGTGGTTTCGTTGTAAGGAGATTATATTAATATTTATTCGTTTAAAAAAAATTGGATATAGCTTTTATAGAATCAAGATTATGTAGAAATATAATGTGTTTTTTATTTATTGATATATGTTTTAAATAAAAAGTAGATAGCTCCTAAAAACCACACAAATAACGACTAGCGCGACATTTTGCTCAACCTGCGCCTTAATAGAAGCCGGTTATTTCAATAATACAGACAGATACTTCAATTTTATTTATATGTGTAGATTACAGAAATAAAAAAAAATATCACTTCTTATGTTTTTATTTTGGTCCCACATTTATACATAGACATCACTTAAAACTTCTTCCAAAAAAGGTTCATTAAATCACCTTATTTACATTAAACGTAATTTAATTAATAAAACGTAAATATAATACATATTAAAATATTTTTGAAAATTACAAATAATCCTATTAAATTTAATAATAACATTAAATAATATCTTCAATCAATAACTGACTTTGAATACATATTTATTTGAGCTTGTAATCAGCGCAATACAAAAGCACGCTTATAAATTGGACTATTTTTATTTTTACATAACACAGCTTAACTTTTATTATAAATAACTTACGACTCTAAACATAGCTTGGTGTTTCTATTAGCCCTAATTAAGGAGCATACGAAAGGCATTTAACAATGTAAAAAAAAGTTTTTATAGTTACTACTACGATTGATGGAGCAGAAATATTCGTTATAACTGCATTTGTAATTTACGGACCATGTCATGATAATGTTGACAAAACTTTTAACTACTTACACCTCAGATTTTTATTTTAACCGACTTAAAAAAAGAGGAAGTTGTCAATACGTCAGAATATTTTTTACATATATATATAACGATAATTATTTACTCGATTTTTAATCGATTTTTATTTTTCAGTGGTAGTCTCATACAAATTCAGTCATAATTTGATAATGGGAACCACGAGACATCTGCACGACATATGAATAAATAATTCTTTACCGCGTCAACGGATTTTGATGATTATATTATTTTTAATTTTTTTTTGTTGTCGGTATTTATTTATTTTAAAAATTTTATCATAACTCAAATACAAAAGCCTAACGGTCCCCTTTGAACTTTAATTTATTCTGTGCTAGTAAGTGGAAACGTCCAGAAGGACATCATGGTGTAGGCATTCCATTTTTTTTTTTACTTTTCTATGCATTTTTCCTGTCTTATCACCTTACAATAGCCTTCATTTAAGGCGTGAACTACGTAACTTAATTAAAACATTCATACATCAGTCTTTTAAATAATGTCATAACTTCAAAGCATCAAATTACAGAAATCTTGCATTCATACGATCATATTTTATTTAATAAAAATACTTGTACAGATTATATAAAACCATTTTCAACGTTTCGGTCAGATTTATTAAAAATAAAAATAATTTTTAGAAGCTTAGTATCTATTAGTTCTATTTCTTGGTGACCAAGTGTGTCTACATTTGCATGCTAACTTTTTTATTAGAGTTTAGCAATCATATGTAATTGTTGTTTTAATGTTTTCAAGAAATATCGAACCGCGAATACACTTTATTGTAACTCTGACCTAGCGAATATTTAGTTGGTAATAACCTGTACAGCGCATAATACTTTATATTAATATTATTTTGAACCAATTCTGATACACTTACATATCACTCGTATATCCCTTATTCAATTTATGAATAAAGCTACGTTTATTTTAATTTCGAAGACTCTTAAACTTAAGTAGCAGTTTATCACTTTAACAATAAAACTTTTGGAAGTTGAATCAACCAACTTATGTAATAGTAACTTATGTATAGATTAAGAGTGTTGTTACTCAGCTTCTTTCAATGGGACCGTATCGTTGTCTAAACCACGTCATGGCGGTGTAGTCGGGCTCATACACGTCGGGTATCTCCTTGTCTATGGCCTCACAGTACACCATCTTCACTGATGCTTCACTGAAGAGCCTCTCCTCGAATTTTATTAACTGTTTGAAGAAACCCGTGTTCGGTCGGATTTGCGGTCTGGAAAACATAAATTGTTAACTATTTTGCTTTAAGATGTTTCAAAACACGAAGTTTGCAAGTTACCAATTAATTTTGTTTAACGTAGAAGTTAAAATTAAATGCAATAAAGTTGTAAAATTTGTTTTGTTTTAGGTTCAAATATAACAAAAATTATGTATATAATTTTAATTTTGTTAAAGTTAGTTAAAGTTAGTCTGGTCTAGTTTAGTATAGTAATGTCACAACATCTTACCGTCTTTGTTTAAGATGGTGGTATGCGTCCCTTAACGTCATTCTCTCCCACTTCACAAGGTACGCCAGGCACAAAGTAACTGATCGGGACACACCGGCCACGCAGTGGACTAATACCACTTCTCCTCGTTTGACCACCTGCGTAACAAGGAATTATTCCATTTAAAGTCATCATCAAAGTACATAATCATTAAAATTATTAACTTTTTTCCGATCTACGCAGTATGACCTTATAGTATCTTGAAGTGTTGCAGTTGTATGTTTAGGATGGGATTTAGTTGGAATATAAAATAAGTTATTATACGCAATAGAATCCGAAAGACTAGTTTTATTTATCGTATTGCTCGATGTTTTGCTTTTTCGCAAACGCACTCACTGACCAATGTAGGGGTCCTCCACAGATTGCTTTTTTTATAGAATAAGGGTTACAAACGAGCACACAGTTCACCTGATGGTAAGTGGTTGCTGTGGCCCATAGACATCTACATCTATCTTCGTTTGCGAATTAAAATGCAGATGCGTTATCAGCCGTGAGGACTAAGATAGAATGCTTCTTTTCCAGTAAAATGGGTCTCCGGTTCTCTACACTCACCATACGAAACACAGCAGCATTAAACTCCTATTTTACGCTGGTATTCTGTGAGAGCGTGGTCCTTCCTCGGTCGAGCCGACTCGTTCGTGCTACAACTATACTATTAATATAGCTGCAGCATGGCTCTACCACGTTTAAACTACGAGGTAAGGCTGTCATTAGAGCAGTTTACTTAAATAGAGGCATGCGGATTGTCTCTGCCACTTGAGGTAATGATGGCAAATCCTCACTACAATAGAAAATTACCATTTCCAACAGTAAACTAATATGGACCGATGAAAAAAGAAAAGAGTAATAAATGATAGCTTTATTAATAAAACTTACTTCATTAATAAGGTCCGCAACCCTTTCCATATAAGGGTGCATGTCAGAATTTGGAGTATCGAGCAAGGGCACAAAATGCCTGGGGACGCAATCTTCAGGCGGCGGGGGTAGCTCCGGCGCCGCACTAATAACCAGGCCAGGGCGAAGCGCCTTTACGGCTCCAGGTAGAGCATGGGCTCCGCATACATATACAGAACCAGTGACGCGAGAGACGCCGAGGGGACATCCTCTGTGGAATAAATATTTTTTTTAAAACGGAAGAAGCATTTAAAAATGATCTAGAAGTCTCTTGTGAACTACAACATGTATAATTTAATAAAATATGCATCATTCCTACTGATTCTATAAATATAATATAGAATAAGGGTGATAAACGAGCACACAGTTCAGTTGGTAAGTGGATGCTGTGGCCCATAAACACATTTATCTTCAATTAAGAATTAAAATGCAGATGATTAAGATGAGGACTAAGATAAAATGCCTTTCAGTAAAAAAGGTCTCCGATTGTCTAAACTCACCATACGAAACACAGCAGCATTAAGCTTCTATTTTACGCTGGTATTCTGTGAGAGCGTGGTCATACCTCGGTCGAGCCGACCCGTTCGTGCTACAACCATAATATATAGCTGCATCGTGGCTCTATCGCGTATAATTTAAGGTAAATACCTATTCTCATTTTAGTATATGTACTGCCGAAGCAAGTACAAGCTCACTAGGTGGTTGAACGTAAGAATTTTTTACATACGTCTTTCGATATCACCAGCGGCTGTCAAGCATGCTGATTGAGGTAAATACTGATTCACTTACGATATCTCATTATAATAAGCTAGTTATAATTACTGGTAGGTACGTGCTAGCCAAGTAGAAAGAGTTTGACGTTACCGTCCCAAAAAGCTAGTTGGCTGATGCATTACCAGGGATCTTTCGACCTGCGATATTTGAATTCTGAATAACATAGTCCGAAGACTACTCATATTAGACAGTTTTAGTCTAGAGAATTTTTGGAACGAAGTTCCGTATTAGACGGTACGAACTTGGCGGATGGGGGCTAGGCGAGAAAAAGTGTAAGATTTTTCCGTCATTACCCCTTCTGACGTATTGTAGACGGCCTTGGCGGCTATAAGGAAGCAAAATGGAATAATAACCATTTCCCTCGCACTTTTCCTTAGCTTGCCATGAAAGAAATATTATTTTATTTTAAATGACGCTTCATTTTAATAGACGCTAGTAATTAATTTATTTGTATTTGTTAATCAATATTGTAATACGTATATCAATACTAACTATATACTACAAAAGGAACTTCGTTCTAACCGCGTGTTCCACAACACTCACGCATTATTTTTTATATAAGTAAGAGTGATAGGCGATCCAGAGGCCACCTGGATATGGCGCAAAAGCACAATTATTTCCGATTAAGAATCAAAATACACATGTCCCGCCTAAGGTAAAGTGAACAGTCTATATACCTCCAACTGCTCGGCACTCGCTTCCTCTAATTTCTCAAAGGGTTTTAAATGTTTGCGGACTTCATATGTTTTAAAAATCTTTTTTTTTAATTTCTCAGACATGCAGGTTTCCTCACGATATGTACCTTCAATGCCCCGCACGTAATTTAGCACACATATCACGATAATCATTATATGAAGCACTTTCTAGTTATGCATCACAGCTCAGTGGATGAGTGATAAGTTGATCAGCTGAAGTGGTAATGGCCCGGTCATATAACACGAAGAACCGACAATATGGACAATATGGGGAAAGAAGGTTTTCGAGGGGCAGTCCCGTACCAGCAAGTGAATAGTAAGGTGGCTACATACTTGATGGTGAGTGATGTAAAGTGATGAAGAAATCTATGTATGCAGGTATTTCTTGGGAGAGGCCTAGTGATGACTATGATAATGATGAACTATGAGGCTGTTATTCCATATCGATAGAGCTGACACATTCGTGCTGTAGCCATGACTCTACCACTTAGGAAAATAAGGTGAAAGAAAGATAAGAGGGAGGTAGAGATTAGATACCTGGAAGCCGTCTAGTTTACGTTAAGTCGATCAGTGCTTTATATTTCTTATTACTGGCCAAAACAAAAAGAAGTAACAAGGTCAGTCATGAAAATATTTTGTTATTAATCTTCATAAATGCTGAAAGCTGTAAAATGGAATTGCGACAACGAATTCTTGCCATTAATTTACGTCAGTGTCAAAGTCTAGTACGCTACAAGGCCAGTTATTTATCTGCTGTAAATAAATTTAATATGTATCCACTGTTATCCACTTCTAACGTTGCAATTTATGTCCATTGAAACATTCCTAGTGAATGAATATTATTATCGCATATAAAAGCTTCTCATTTGGGATTTCTTTTTAACATATCTTCATATTGTTTAGTCCATAGAGTGCAATTATTTTGTGGTCCAATCTACTATTTTAAAAAGGTTGTCTTAGTGTATGTGAAAGAGAGCGAAATTATTACTTCTTTATTAATACTTCTTCGAGGTATGAAATTAAAATTTCATTAGTCAAACGTCATTTTGTTTCTAGTACCGTTTCAAAATGAAGTTTCAGATGAACCATGATGACAGAGAATAAACAGCTACACAGGTACTCAATTTTACTATATTTTTTGTATGCAGGTGTGTCCTTTTTTTTTGTCCTAAAAATTAAAACGTATATAAACCACACAAGCTTTATAAAAACAAAATCGATCAATTAAAGAATACAGGAAGAGGGGAAAAGAAATAAATATTTGTGGCACGCATAGAGTGGAAGGCGAAATACTCTGATGCAAACAGCTTGTTAATATTTGAAAATTTAGTCCGAAATAATTCCAAGTTGCTGTTACGATTGTTGAATGCTCAGATCATAGAATTCTATGATCTGAGGTTGAAGATACTTGTGAGAATAAAGAATTAGTTGCGACGATAATTATTGTTAGCTCTGGGTATTGCTAGAGGTTGGGTGCGTCTTATACGTTATTTGCGTGGTACCCAGATGTTAACTTACTCTAAAAAGGAAGGGTAGTCTATGAGACCACTGACCATTTTTTTAGACATACATATAATGTCTGATATTTGCCGTCTTCTGTGTAGTGGTAAAAATCTTATACACTTTCTATCGTATCCATGATCTATTTGCCTAAATTTAAACTGTTAATACCTATCTTAAAAATGTTTTTGTATGTATTCAATGTGAGAAATATACACGATATAATAGGACTCAAGAAGTCTGTAGAGCAACTATTAAGACAATATATAGTTCAAACATTCTAGTTCCTAGTCGCTAGTTTATACAATTATTTAAAATTGATGCGTAGCTTCTGATATTGCTTAGTCCACTCATCATGGTTAAATAGACTATAAAAAACGTAAAAATGGACTTCAAAATTTTTTTATAAATTTATTTATGTCGCCAAAATGATTACTAGCACATTTCAAAAATGAATTATTTTTCATAAATTTATTTATGTCGCCAAAATTATTACTAGCACATTTCAAAAAATGAATTACTTTTTATAAATTTATTTATGTCGCCAAAATTATTACGAGCACATTTCAAAAAATGAATTACTTTTTATAAATTTATTTATGTCGCCAAAATTATTACGAGCACATTTCAAAAAATGAATTACTTTTTATAAATTTATTTATGTCGCCAAAATTATTACTAGCACATTAGAAATAAGAAATTAAGTGTATCAGTGAATGGTAGAGTCGGTAAGGAAATTTAATTTCTTTGACCAAAATGGCAATATGTTAGAAATGGACCAGATTAAAAGTGCCCTGAAACGACGAGTATGTATGCGTAGACATGATATGGATGGGAAATAAACGAGAGGAGTGCCTCAGGATCGCTACAAATGTTCCGTAGTTTTTGTCTACCCCTTTAGATTGCAGGCGTGACGTTTTATTTATGTATATTTTTTTATAGGACAAGGTAATGTAAATGGTTGCTGTGGCCCATAGAAATCTACATCTATCCTCGTTTCAGGTCTGAGGTTGAGGTCGAGCCGAGCCATTCGTGCTACAACTATACAATTAATATAGCTCTACCATGTATAAAAGTATATATAAAAACATGGGTCACTAGAAAAATCATTTCTATCAGTGTCAACCCTTCTGCACATGCGACGCGTCGGCGCGTAAACAAGACATTCCACATGGTTGTGTCACACTGGCGCGGAGCCAATGGCGTTTGACCTAGCGATCTTGCTAACATACGTCCCACTGTTTTTGCAATCTCGATAAATTTGGCAATGCTTACTGATTTCTGCAACTTTTTTGGATACAAAATTAAAAACACTAATTATAGCAATCTCAGAGCAAAAAACACTAATTCATTCATATAAGGTAAGGACAAAATACTGAACAGACTTCTGTTGTTGTGCAAAAAATGCTAAGAAATCAATCAATTTAGTGCCACTTGTTGAGGTAAAAACTTCGTTATTTAATTTAATTTGTAGAAATATATTTTAATCGAGCAAATCTTTTTATTCATAGTAGATTATTAGTATTATTTAACCGAGTGTTGGTGGCTTATGAGAGTCGCATCTCCATATTCCTTCCCGAGGATGTTATTAAAGACGACAAAGGCAAATACCAAAAAGATCTCATAGCATTTGATAGATGTCAGTATTGCCATCTAGTTTACTCTAGACGTAAAATACCGACTGATGATAAAAGAGCAAAGGCACAGGTGCAAGACGTCTGGAAATGCGATCGCTAATTCATCGGCCAATTTGTATTGAATTGCACGTATTATTATTTTGATGTAGAAATAATATTTTGTTGGTTTATAAAATAGGTAAGTATTTACATAATTTAATAGATTTTTTATTTTTATGAATAATTTTTAATGTCAATCAATATTTATCTATGGTAAGATAAATAAACCATTTATAGAACTTTTTTTTATAGAATAAGGCTGACAAACGATCACACAGTCCACCTGATGGTAAGTGGATGCTGTGGCCCATAGACATCTCCACTTATCCTCAATTAAGAATCGTTCTCATCGCTGAGGACTGAGATGGAATGCCTCGTTTCCAGTGAAAAGGGTATCCGGTTCTCTACACTCACCATATATTATGTGAGTTCATGGTCCTACCCCGGTCGAGTCGATCCATTCGTTCTGCAACCACAATATAGCTGCAGCATGGCTCTACCACGTAATACTAGTTAAGTCAGGTAGAACTGTAGTGTTCAATGTAATTATTGTAATAATTAATTTAAATATTTTTTAACATTTAATTAAAGATTATAATAATTTCTGACATCTTCAGTAAAACCTTATTAGTAATTTTAATTGTTTGTACATAATATGTGAGTTATTAACTCACACATTATACAACATTGTTATAAGTACTAAGTAAATACATTGTTATTAAATTTGTTGTTTATGTGCAAGTTGCATTTATTTATTAAAAACTTGCAAAATTTTAATCACCTGTTCAATTCCTCTTTGGTCAGCTTAACGTCTACCAGTTCAACTGTGGGCTCACTGTTTTCAGCGCCAGACTTATCTTGTACCGTTAGGACTTTCATCGTAACCACAAATTGATAATAATTATGATATTATATTTATAATAAGAATAAATTATCATAAATGTCTGTTTCACTGCACAATACCCATCAAATAAAGTTTCGCTCACTCGAAGTAAATTACGCGAAATATTTTTTATTTGTTTTAACGAGCGATCTCAGACGTACGCCGCGTGCGTGCTACGGTTGCGCACTGAAGTACTGAAGTCGCTGAAACCAGGGGCTCGCCACCTGCGGCCCGCGTCCCGAAGCGCCTGCAATATCCGGCATTCCACGATTATTTTCGTATCACCTCGAGTGTTATTTTGTTTACAATTCTCGTGCGTTTCTGTATTTGTCTGTTATGGCGGACACTTTCCAACGACAACGTCAAATTTTGTTTCGGTATTTTCTATATTTAATATTTGTTTATTTTTATTTTATATGATTTGAATATTGAAATTTTTGAACAAATTTTTTTGTTTTCAATATGAAATATATAATTTTGAAATTAATACGTAATGGTTGGTAGGTAATTATGTTTTTACGATACGTTGGACTGAAATATCGAACATTAAAGTACCGAACATTTTGTTAATCAAACTTTGCTAGCGCTTGAACCTAAATTAGACTGCGTCATAAGTTATGTAAGCTGATGACAGTTTTGGTAATGGGCATATATATGGAGAAATATGGGATTTAAGACGTCTGGTAATGAGCACGTGAAGAACGCGAGGCACATAAAGATGCTGCTATAAGTTCTTATTTGTATTTTAGCCCATAAGCTTTCGCATATGCCTCACATAGAGACAATAGAGACCTTAGTGCATTTATTGTGGGACTCAATAGCACAATGTCGTCAGCATAGCTTATTTTATTAAAGCAAATATCATCAATACAATACGCGACATGCGTGCTGCTACCAAAGTCGCTCAATAAGCTGATTGGCATACAGATTAAACAATAGAAGCGAGCTTTTTTCCTAGATCTATATGATGAAAAGCATTTAACACATTGAGAGAACGGGTATACCGGCATCCCTCTCTTTGTATAGTAGTTGACAGTATGCTTTAGGCTCAGAATAGCATTCTTGGGTGACAATCTAGCTTTAAACCCAAGCTAGGTATAATAATAAATAAAATAAATAAATAATAAAAAGTACTTATTTACCACAAAACAATACAATGGTAAAATTTAAATAGACAGCTTAATAATGAATTGTGACAAAACGGTCTGTATCTCAGTTGTAACATAAACTCCATTATTCCTCCTATTCTGCCACAGCCTTTGCGCAGTATACATACAGGGTCTTAGGCAAGTGATGAAACACATGTATCAGCAATAAATAAATAAATAAAAATCAAACAATAAATAAATAATAGTTACTAAAATACTAAAATACGAATTACAAAAATGTTCACTAATTTGACGGGATAACAGAGCCACTCAGAGCCAGGGACTATTGTTGAATCAGCCACTTGCGGCATCTTTGCCGGAAGGTATACGGAGATAGGGCAGACCGGACTGGTGGTGGCGAATCGTTCCAGATTTTAGCAGCGGTGAATTTAAAACACCCCCTGGCTCCAGCGAGTCTAATTCTGGGTAGTGGAAGCCGATGATATTTTTCTCTGACCGAGAGCAAACTTTTTGTTCAACAGCTATCTTATCGTACAAATATCTTGGAGACGCTGCGTGATATAGTTTATGCAGAAAGCAAGCATATTTTAACTTGGTACAAATGGACATATTTAAAATGTCATTACTGACTAAATAAGGTGAAATCCTATGCCTTTTCGGTTTATTAGTATCATGTAAACCCGCTTGTTTTTGAGATTGTGATTCAACAGACTCTCAAGCAGTTGGGCTGTTGTTGTAGCAAGTAGGATAGGAAGATAATTATTTTTAGCAGAAGTATCACCTGTCTTATTTTATAAGAATCGGTACAATAACAGTATGCATTAAATAAGATTACCTCATGTAAGGAAGAGTGACATATGTAAGTCGCAGCCAACTAGCTTAATAGCCGTTCAATTAACGACCTAGCCATTTACTAAACGGCGCCCTTCAACTAGCGGTCTGGATGATATTCAGACGATGCGTCTAATACAACATTGCACATATCTTGTAATATCATCGACAGTAGGCTAATGAGCGGCTGAGGTGGCCCTTGGGCAACCCTAAAGATTAAAGCGTACATTTATATAATATACCACAAAGCTCTAATTAAACACAGACCAGCCACCGTCTCGTTGAATGAAATTAATACGGTGAACATGCCATATAATAATGTCTAGGCTGTTAATTGAACGTCTAACTAAGCTAGTTAGCTGCGCCATATACATACATTAAATAAAGCGGTAAGCGCGATAGTTGCACTGCAGCATACCTTAAATGTGAGCGGGCGATTTTCCCTTTGATTATTTTTAATAACTGTCGAATATGAAAATATTTTTGTAAAACAAACACGAGTCAGTCAGTAATTCAAACCAAGGATCCTTGAATGAGCTATTAATTCGGCAATTGATCTAAGCGACCGAAAAAATTCTCTTGGCAGTAAAACTGGTATGTGTACAAAACTAAAGGTTACATTTTTATTAAAGATAATGACAGGAATGCTTTCAACGTTTCTAGAATACGCGTTAATAACTGAGCGTCATGAAATACGACAAAAGGCGAATCACAAACGCCTCATGATTATCAAGAACAACCACATGAGATTATTTCCAAAATATTTTTAAATCTTAACCATCAAATATTTTAATCTTAATCCCGTGGCAACAGCAGCATCTTCCTGATAACAAATCAATAGTAATAATAAAAACTGTGGTTGCCAATCCATTGTGGCTAATATTTACAAATAGGGCATTTGCCATAATTGCCACGATTGACTAACATTATCTTTTATCCTCTACTCCCTATCGTCCCGTAGGTATCGTAAGAGGCGACAGAGAAATATGAAACAGTAGATGGCCAGCAGGATCTTCAACTCAACATAATGAAAAACTGCAGCTGTCCATCTATGGAGGCCTGTGTTTAACAGTTGATTTTCAATAGACTGTAATGAATGATGAATATTTGTTCCAACCATCATCGAACTTATAGGTTTTATATCGATTGATCGAATCGATTCGATTAGCGCCGATTCGATTCGATTAGCACACCACACTACATGCAGCCACTGTAATATTAATATCCTCCAGAAAAAAATTCGGTCACAGCGGTCAGTCTGAAGAATAGCCACCTGCGCGGAACCTGGTTACCTGAGTATATGCGCAAACACAAGTGCACTATCTATTCCCTCACTCTCATAGTCTGGTGGGGCGGTAAATAGATAAGACCGGAGAAAAATCCGGGCGCAGGACCAACGACTTTACGTGCTGAAACACTGCCAACTTCCTGACTCCGGGCTGAGCTACGAAACAGTCATCAATCAATCAAGAATCGAAATACAGATGCCTTGTCACTTTTGAAGACTAAGATTAAATGCCTTGTTACAAGTAAAAAAGGGTCTCTGGTTCTCATCACTTATCTTACGCTACACATAAGTATTATACTTCAGCTAATGCTTTCCCTGTCGATTCAACTCCTTCGTGTTGTAACGTGGCTCTATCTCGATGTACGGTAATGGATTAGCCAAGTTCGGAAAAAAAGGACGACGCACCGGCAATGTGAATATTTAAACAAAGCACTTTAAGCTAATTTCTCTCCCCCCCTTCCCCCAGAACTCAAAAACTATTTGTAATGTTTATTTGTAACATACACATTTGTAATGTTGCATAACCAATAAGGACTCATAAAATTTTACGTATTTTTTATGGTACCTCAATCTTCTTGAATAAATCTGCATTTTTATTGACATCACTTACTCATTTAAATATAAAGGATTTGACTTTAAGGTAGGAAAGTTCCTTCCTAAACACTAAATTATTAAGGTATCGAAAAAGTGTCGGCAAAGTTATTAGTGAGGTTAGTCCCAAGGTGTAATTGAAACTGTAATTAATTATTATGTCGACATTTAATTCTAATAACGAAAATTTGAGATTAATCTCCCACCAAAAACAAGAATGTTAAAAGAGGGCCAAGTTCCACTTGGAATCTAGGAAAGTTGTTTGAACCGATTGTGTTTGATAAAGTACCTATTTCCTTAAGTCCTCTCTAAGGCACTCACAGGATTGAAGGACTCGCCATGGGTTTTTATGTATATGTACGTAGTATTATTATCTATTCTGTGGTATATGTATTCGTATATGGTGACAGAACAATGTCATATTACTATTATTTATTCTGTGGTATAAGTATGTAGGCACAAAAAAATGTCATTAAAATTATGTTCCGTTCTTTAATGGCAAATAAAGGCCTCGGCCTCAATACGGATTCGTTTTACAAACGCTAAAGAGTTATGGCTATGGTACAGCAATGTGACCTACGTAATTCTAGTCATAAGTGATGTGAATTCCATTCATCTGGAGCGGTTTATTGGCGCCGAAACGACGTGTTTTCGCGGGTGAAAATAAAATGCGAGCGTCAGCGAACGTAATGTTTGCATTGTATTGTACGATACGATAACGAAATGTTTTCTATATAACTTTTACCCACGTTTTCGTTCGCTTAGAAATTAAACAAAAAACCTGCAGATAATATAATATTGGTAACTCAGTTTTTGCTATTTCAAAACTATGTGCCTAATTGTTTTAGTAGTATAAGGATAAGATCACCTGATGGTAAGGGGATACTGTGGCTTATAAACATCGTCTATCATCTATCTCGTCGGTTTTATCATCGGTTAAGAATCAAAATGCACATGTGTTGTTACCTTGAGGACTAAAATGGAATGCCTCATTTCTAGTAAAAAAGGTCTCCGGTTCTCTACACTCACCACACAAAACACAGCAGCGTTAAGTTGTTATTTTACGCTGGTATTCTGTGGGAGCGTGGTCCTTTCCCGGTCGGGTCGACCCGTTCGTGCTGCAACCACAATATACATGGCTTTAGTATGGCTCTAATTTAAGTCTTAATACCTAAAA